GCATATAGTAAGAATATTTTTACTCTACTTACTCATCGTATCTTCAGATATTACACAAAACTGCATTGTTTAAGAGTATTAGTAAGCAGGTTTAAATTGACTAATTGCCATTTTACTATAAAGAAATTGTTAGTAAGAAATTGAGTTATTGTATAATAAAATTTGAAACTAATCGATGTAACTTTTTACCTATTCTATATAGATCGTGACAGAATTTTGGTGCCTTCTGTAAGGTTAGGTATAAAGTATCTTTCATTTCTTGATTAAAGTATACCTGTCACACAGAATTATAAAATTCTTAATATATAGAACTAGAATTTAATTTAAAGATTCCCTTCAAATCAAAAACCTAAAGACTATTTTTGTATTGTTGACCGTAATCCAATTTTCAAGGGATACGATTAATTATTAGCTAAAGACACTATAGCTAAACTAAAATATAATAAACTACTAGCTAATTTATACTAAAAATATATGATGTTTGAAGGATTTAGATATTGCAAATTTGTTCGAAAGAGGCAAGGCTATGAGATTTTTATAAGAGTTTAACTAAACTATTCACAAAGAATATAAATAAACTAAACTAAACTGATAATTCTTAACATTAAGTAGAGAATTATAACACAAAAAACAATATACCAAGATCACAAAGTAAGGTATATTTAACAAGTGTTTCAGTATTCCACCTAGGAATAATACAAAATTTTATTAAGAAATTACAATAGTATAAATAATAATCTACACAAGTATTATTTATAAAGCAAATCACAAAATATTTTATTAACAAGAACTGTGAGCTAACTACTGAACTTGAATAGAACTGAGGACTGAACAAAGAAAAATTTAGTCCTTTATATAAATAATTGAAGTTATAATAGATTACACTGTAGATTATACTAATGCATATATTATTAATTACGCTGATGTATATACTATTAACTATACTTTCTACTACACTATCTATTACACTATTCATTACACTATTGAATATACTTGATTATGCTGTATATTACACTGTTAATTACACTCAAGTCTACAGTCGTAATACCTAATAGTTATACCAATTTCTAAATGATTTACACTAATAGTTTCCTATATAATATATACTAATAAAAATATAAAATTAAACTAATAAAATATAATTATAAATAAGCTAATATATGATAATAAAATAATAATATAATAAATAAATAAGATAAAAATATAGTAATAATAAAATTTGATAACTAGGGTCAACAATATAAATCACATTAATCTATATTAATTTGTATTTATCCATATTAATTCATATATTATATCAAATATATTCACTTATATTTAGTTTTTATTAATTACAAATATATCTGTATATATTTGTGAGTGAAAATTTTCTGATATATTAGTAAAATTTCAATTTCCAAGAGTTAATTTTTCAGTAATCACTAATTCAATTGTTATAAAATTTGATATATCACTTCTTCTTGAAAAAGACTATTAATCTTATAATTATCTTGACTATAATTATTTTGTATAAAATTTTATTTACAATTGAAATTTTATTAAATGTCATTTACCATATAAATTATTTGTTTATGCAAAATCAGAATTATTAATTTAATATTGAAATCATTTCAAAAAAAATTTCAAAACTCAAGAATTAAAATAAACTTAATAACTATTATTCTAAAATCAATTATTCAGACTATATAATTTTTTAAAAACAAAAAAACAAGTGTTACAATACTTTTGTAAACTACTGTAAATACAAAAGAATTACTGTACCGAATAGTAATTCCTATATTATAAATTAGTTAAAAATCAGTAACAATTGACAGTTCTATTATATTTTATATTACATTAGAAATTAAATAAAAATGTTCTATGACATTATATGAATACTATTTTATAGTATTCTATAAATGGCACAAATATTTATACAATATATTAAATATACCATTCTAAGATGTTTCATGAATGTTTTATTCATATAGCATATTAGAACATACTGTTTTAGAGCATTTTATGAATGTTTCATTCATATAACAAACTAAATTGATATTTTTAATGTATTATTTAAATGTTGTTCAAATGGTATATTAGAATATCCTTTATATAACTTCAGATGTATAAATTAGCTAAAATCAAAATTTCTTTTCAGTACAATATATTTTTTGTATTTAACCTGTGTATATTGTAATGATTATTGAAATCAGACAAAATTTAAAATATCAAATATATATTGACACAATATATTCTTTATATAATACTAATATTAATTCTATATTATAATAATTATTGAAATAGAATGAATTTAAAAATATCAAATACAATATATTCTTTATATAATACTAATGTCAATTCTATATCATACTGATTATTTGAAATATAGTAAATTTTAAAATGTCAAAATTATATTAGCATAATATATTTTTTATATTATATTAATATTGATTCTATACTTGCATACAAAATTATTTTGAGATTTCAAAATTACAATTTTGTAAAAAAAAAAAATTGAAATAGTTTTTTATAGAAGATGAAATATTTTATATAAAATCTGAAATTTTTGATTATTCAAATAAATTCTTTGATTAAAGATACATTTAACTAAATATTTTTTACTTCCATATATAGAATAGATTCTGAATAAATTTTAAAAAAATAAAATATTTCAAAAATCAATTTTGAAAATATATATAATCATATTATAATAATATCATGATAATATTCAATATTACAATATCACTATGATAGTAAAATTAAATTTTAAAATATTGATGGAATATTAATAAATATCAATAAAGAATATCAAAAATATTACAGAAATATTACAGTTAAAGATAGTACTTATAATTATGAATTAAGGATTATGATATTACTACTTATATTGTAATTATTAAGAATTTCAATGGTAAAAAATTCACAATTTCCACAATTCACAATTATCTGCAAGTCCATAATTGTTTTGTAATTGTTTCAAAGTTTACAATTATTTCACAAGTCTATAATTTTTTTTATAAAAATTTTTTGATTTTAAACAAAAATAAACAAATTGTTTTTAGTTAATGACTTGACATATATACATCAAATTTTAATGAAATAATTATCAAAATTTTTACCTTGATGAGAGGAATTGAATGAATTATAAATTGAATTACAGGTTATAAAAATAATTTCATTTAATTAATTGAATTTTAATTATTAATTAAATAAACTTTTTTTAATAACTTGACAGAGATATCCACAGGCAATGTTGTACATTTTAATGTCCAAAGCTTTTTTTGGATGTCTATGTCCAAACTCTAAATATTTGAAATATTAAAATAAGTTAAAATAGGTTATTATAATAAAATTTTGAATAAATCTAATTTATTTGTTATTAAAATTGTCCAACGACAACACTGTCCACAGGAACTTGGATATTCCGAAAATGGAAACATTGTTACACAAAAGTTTACAATTAATTATTTGTATTGCCAAACAAGCTTGGTAATGGTTTGCCGAAAGTGGAATCGTGATCAAAAGATGGCCAGGCCGAGATGGTTTAAGGACTAGTTAGGACCAGTTGAATCTTACAGAACCAGAAGGAAGAAAGCGGTATTAAAGACATTGACCAGAATTCGTAAAAAACTTTTGCAATAGATAGAAATTAGTTATAATATAATAATTGGTTTAATTCAGCTGTATTTTAAGCACAAAAATTTTTAGTAATTTACGAAATCAATAAAGTCTGCCCATCGGGCGTGTATATATGATAGTTGGTTGATATTAGCATGCATACAGTTTTAATTTTTGGCAAAGAATAAAACTGAAACTTTGGCATTTTGATCACAATGATCTAACAGAAAGGTACTATTCATTATTTTTTATTATTACGCAATATGAGTTATACATTTTAAATATCACTGAACATGTTATCCGAAGATTTATTAAAACAATGCTCGAGGTTGAGAACGTAGAACTTAAACACGAAAATACAAATTAAGACATGACATTGAGGAAATTAGTCCAACAAAAAATATGCTCTAATAACTTCTTGATTCGTGCTTCCAATACCTTAGTAAGGGTATTGTATAAATCAGAAGCTCACGATAGATTTAGTATAAGTGATACTACCTGTTGAAGAACTAGACGATTTCAGCCCTCCAATATGCTTTTAGAATTATATTTGAAATGGTGTTATTTGAATGGGAGTTTATTAAATATAAAATGTAACAAGGACATGCTTTACTGAGAAATCTTATAAATATATTTAGCTTGAGAAGTTATTATTAACACGGCAACAGTACAGAGAGTACAAAAGAACGAAAGAGTATAAAAAGTACATGGTTTATTTCGTAAGTAAAGATAGGAGCGTATTTTACATTTACTAATGTAAGTTGAAACAAATTTAGACTTCAATCTGAGGCTTAAAATTTCACTTTCTATTTTTAGTAAAAAATTGGCTATGAAATTCCATTCCATAATTAACAACGAGAAAACTTCTCTTTTGATGTTATTATTTTCTAAAGAAATAGTTTTTTATGCTCGAGAAATTTCCACTTAATATTAGTTATAGTTTATTTTTCTCGTGATGTCATTGTTAATATTTTTTAAATAGAATTTGTTGTGTTGTTGCTTTAAATTTTTCGAGATTTCTATAAATTTTTGTTTTATGAATTATTAAATTAATATTCTATTCTACCTATACAAGAATAAAATGGCCACTATATTGTATTATTATAAATATTGTCCTTCATTTTCTAATTGTTTTATCATATTCATTATTTAATATTACTTAGTTGCTACTTTCTATTTTAATCTATATCTCCTAAGAGTTCCACTTCGAATTATTATTATCTTTAGAGCCTTTTGTTTTATTAAAAGAATTAAAAAATTAGAAGAAAATCATTTTATATCTGAAATTATTGTAATAAAAAGATTAATTACAGTTTTTTGAAGAAAATAATGAAATAATGAAGAAAATAAAGACATAATATGCATTATGATAGAACAAATATCGAGAGTTTTTATTCTTCATTTTATCTCACCCGTTCATAAAATAATAGATAGGCTCCACTTTCTAGAACATCTTTAATATTTGCTTTATGCACAGAACTATCACTAAAATAAATCCATTGCCTTTGCTCATCTTCATTCTCTTTAGCAGCAGAATGGATTTCATTAACTTTATTGTAATCATCATTAGATAATTCTGGTACTCCCGTTTGATCCCCTTTCCCAAGAATATTTCTCGAAAGTACATAAGCAATATAATGACCATTGTATAAACTTCCTTGATGAACAACAACACCATATAATCGATATTTTTTTCGTTCGTTTTCGTTTGATAATACCCCGTCTTCGTCATCTGCATCGCCCACCTTTTCTGAGGGGATTACAAAATCAGTTACATCTATTTCTTCTTCAAACTTAACAAAATCATCTATCTTTCTCATGGTGACCGACCATCTGCTACCTATTTGTTGAAATCGTTTTAAATGAAATACTAACACAGGCGGTAATGTATCAAAGAAATAACGTTTATTAGCATCTTGGAGAATGAATTTTGATTCGGTTGGCTTGGATTTTGTAGTAGCATTGCTTACAAGTGACGATTTCAATGGCTGTGAGGGTAATGGCTGCTGCTTCTGTTGTGAATCGGATTCTTCACCATTATTTTCTAATTCTGTAGAATTCTTAACGATCGTTTCATTTACGTCTTCTATTTTCTTAATATTCTCAGAATTTTCTGTATTCTCAATGTTCTCGTCATTTCCTGTATTCTCGACATTTTCTGTATTTTCAATATTCTCAATATTTTTGAAATTTTCTGTATTCCCAATATTCTTGGCATTTTCTGTATTTTCAATATTCTCAGAATTTTCTGTATTCCCAATGTTCTTGGCATTATCCGTCTTCTCAATATTCTCAATATTCTTAGCAGCATTTTCTGTATTTTCAATATTCTCTCTATTCTCGATATTCTTAGCATTTTCTGTATTCTCGATATTTTCAGTATTTCCTGTATTCTCAATATTTTCTGTATTTTCAATATTTTCGGCATTTTCTGTATTCTTAATATTCTTACCGTTTTCTGTATTCTCAATATTCTCAGCATTTTCTGTATTTTCAATATTTTTAGCATTTTTTGTATTCTCAATCTTCTCAGCATTTTCTGTATTTTCAATATTTTTAGCATTTTTTGTATTCTCAATCTTCTCGGCATTTTCTGTATTCTCGACATTTTCTGTGTTTTCAATATTCACGGCATTTTTTGTATTCTCAATATTCTCAGCATTTTCTGCATTTTCAATATTCTCAATATTTTTTATATTCTCGGCATTTTTTGTATTCCCAATATTCTCAGCATTTTCTGTATTCTCAATATTCTCAGCATTTTCTGTATTCTCAATATTCTCAGCATTTTCCGTATTCTTAACATTTTCTGTATTCTCAATATCCTCAGCATTTTCTGCCTTTTCAACATCCTTATCGTTCTCATTTTCATTAGAAGAAGCTTGATGCCTGATTCTCCAGCAGTTCTCGCATGCAAATAAATTATCACCGGTTAGAGTCTCTACTCGCATAAAGTTTCTCAGGCAGTCATAGAGAGATATTGGTGGATTATCTATGTCCGAATCACGTGACATAAAATTGCCAAACATCTGCAAACAAACAAAATTAAAATTAGCCTGTAAAAACATTATAAGCAAATAACAAATAAGTGAAATATATCTAACTCTGTTCGATTTGTTCTCATCATAATCACTAATAGGAGATTTTATTGGCAAGGAAACATCTAAAAATTCTTCATATGAAAAAGAAGACTGAAAAAAAGAAATTTTATAAATGAGTATTATAATAGTATTAAATAGTATTATGACCCAACAACAGAATAAAAAAAAAACTTATTTCAAAGGGAAATCAATTTTTTTACTGACTTTTTTACATTTTTCACAAACAATTACACTGACTAATTTACCACCAAAACATGCGTCAATAAAGGACTTCTTTTTTTGTTTTTCTTCAATTTCAGTTTCCTTCTCTTTTTCTTGATCCTCTTGATCCTCTTGATCAATTACTTTTTTAAGAAAAAAAGAAAAATGAATACTTTGAAAATTCAAGATACTATCTATTAGAAGAATTAATGCGTACATTTTTCATTTTTATCTTTCGATGATCCCTTTTCTATGTCTTGTGGAGGAAATAATTTTCGTATCAACTAAATAAAAATGGATTAATATTATCAATAATATAAATTAGAGTAGAATATAAATAATAGTGAGATAGGAATAAAAATAAGTAATCCTTACACTAAGTTCTTCATTTTTGATACCATCAAATAAAAATCGCATAAGTTCCTGACTGTCTTGTTGTCTCCAACCTCGAAATTGTGACCATTTCCTTGTAATTTGATTAAATAATTCTCGAGGAGACACTACATCTTCTTGACGATCCCACATTTTATATAGAAAATTTTTAAATTCATCAGTAAGTGGGCCAACACTATTTTTAGCAGCGGGACACATTTCAGCATCTATTTCAGTTGGTTGATGGTAAGGCTGTTCAGATTTAAGGACATCATGAAGTATTGTAGTTCCAGTGACGACCTACGTATTGTATTAGAGGAATAAAAGAATAAAGGTAAAAAAATAAATAAAAAAATAAATAAAAAAAATAAATAAAAATAATTTGAATTTATGTTCTCACCTGCATAACTGAATTAAAAAAGCACGTGTTACCAAGATTCATTAATCCTGGTGTGGTAATTTGATAATAATTCTGATTATTCATTTGATTTCGATTTTTGGGAATTTTTTTAGTTTGTAAATCGTCGGCTAAGATTAAGGTTATTTATTTATTATTATAAATTTAGAAATAATAGAAATAATAAAACAAAATCCATGTTTTATTCCATTGGTTATTTATTATTATTATAATTTAAAAATAATATAAATAATTACAGGATTAAAATGACAAAATAATATTATAATAAATAAATAAAAAATAAAAATAAAAATAAAAAAATAAATAAATAAAAAAATAAATAAATAAATAAATAAATAAATAATTAATTAATTAATTAATTAATTAAATAATAATAATAATAGTAACGATAAGAGAAAAGTTACAAACCTTTTTTATCTTTCGCCTTACGAGCATTCTTAACCAAACCCAGTATTTCACCTAATATTTGATTCTTTCTGATGGAAGTTACGGAATCATCACACGCGTAACACCTAGAAAATAATGAATTGAATGATGACAACGAATTAAAGATAACGAATTAAAGAGATTATCAATTCCAAATTTAATAACTTCCCCAAACCAGAAAAAAAGAATTATATACCAAAATTCGTTTGTTATTGGATTCATTGAAATTGTATGTTTATGATCTTCCTCATTTTGATTTTTATTGTAATGTTGTTGTGCATGTTGTTTATCATAGCGACCACAATTTATTTCACCACAAGTAAGGCAAACCCAAAGACTTTTATTGATATTATTATCATTATTATTGGAATCGTCATTAGTTTCATTGTCACTATCCGTATCTTTAGTATTATTAACTTCCGCTTCTTTTTCTTTTTCTTCTTCCTTTTCTTCTTTTTCTTCTTTTTCCTTCTTTTCTTCTTCTTCCTTCTTTTCTTCTTCTTTTTCTTCGCTTTCTTTTTCTTTTTCTTCTTTTTCTTCTTCTTCTTCTTCCTTTTCTTCTTCTTCTTTTTCTTCCTTTTCTTCTTCTTCTTCTTTTTCTTCTTCTTCTTCTTTTTCTTCTTCTTCTTCTTTTTCTTCTTCTTCTTCTTTCTCTTCTTCTTCTTCTTTTTCTTCTTCTTCTTCTTTTTCTTCTTCTTCTTCAGTTGAAGTAGATGCGACAATTGTTGAAGTTTGTTGGTTTTTATTATCACAAGTCTATATTATTAATAATAAATTAATGAATAAAGTTATATATATATATATTTATTTATTTATATTTATGGTCAAAAATGTTAACAATAATTTATTATTTCTGAATACTGTACTTGACAACGTAAGTCTGAAAATTTGATTTCTTGTATGGTTTTTTTAAGCTTTTTTCTGAGGTTTACACTTTTAGCGTGGTGACATTCAGAATCTTTTATTAAAAATGAATGAATTTGGTTAAAACAATAAATTGAGTTAGTGTTATACGAAAAATATTAACCTAAATTTAATAAAACTAAGGACTAAGTCAGACGATCTTACCGTCAAAGCTAGAGTTTTCTACTTGAGTCATCTTTCGTGTTCGATTATTTTTATTTTTATTTTTTTTTTTTGATTTATGATTATTTTTTTTACCCTTACCCATACCTTAATTTATATCTGGATGAAGCAGAAATTGAATCAACAATGTCGTACAATATTTATAATATTTCAAAGATTACGTATATGCAGCATTAAGTATTTCGTTATTACCACTTTATCAAAGATTATCTAAATATTTTTATCACAATTTACATTAAAGATTTTTTTTTTTTTTTTTTTAAAAAAAAAATGATACGTTCTTTTCTTCGTAATAATGTAATTCGTAAATTTCCAATCAACGTTCGATTCTTGCATTATAATAATGATAAGTTTAATAATAATAATAATAATAATAATAATAATAATAATAATAATAATAATAATAATAATAAAATCAATAATAATAAACTTACTAATAAACTTCAAGATAAACAGGTAAGAAATTTTTTAAAAATAATAATAAAAATTTATTGATATTGGATTATTCTAACATTCAATACTACTTAATACCACAAATTCAAATACAAATTCCAATCTGCAAATTTGATGAATAAAACTAAGCCAGAGTTAAGATATAAGGCTCAACCTCTTTATCGATCATTAGCACCATCTTTACCAATAATACCAAATTCATTTTCTACAGAAACTAAAGAAGCTGTTAATCGTTTAAGAGATCAAATGCGTTATTATGCAGTAGTTGAAATTCGATCACAAAGATTTTTAATTACCAAAAATGATTTAGTGATTACACATCGACTGCGGGATGTAAATGTAGGAGATGAATTAAGATTAAATCGAGTACTTGAATTAGGATCAAAGGATTTTACTATTAAAGGTCAACCATTAGTTTTGGAAGCTTTTTATAATATTAAAGCTACTGTTATAGAACAACCCAAAGGACCTTTAATTACGATTATTAAAAAGAAACGAAGGAATCGACATAAGAAACATGTTACTCATAAACAAACTTATACCGTATTAAGAATTTCCGAGGTAGAAGTGAATAAATTGGAATAACAATATACTATAATACAAATTTAGTTTAGTTTCTGAAGGTGAGATCTTTTCATTGAAACACGTGACTTCATGGTTCTATTGCCTTTACTTAATTTACTTAATTTTTTAATTTATTCCTTTTTTATTTTTTTTTTTATCAATTAATCTACTTTTTTTAGCCTACTGTATAAATTCAGATATTTTTTAATTTGTACAAATATTTTATTTATTTTATTTTTTTTTATCATTTTATTATTATTGTTATTATATTTACATTTTTATATTTATATATATTACATCAATTTTAGAAATTTTGAAAAAAAAGTATTTTTTTTCTTAATATTCTAATTAATTAATTATTAAATTTAAATTAAATGCACTGCTAGTGTATTAAACAAATGGATATTAAATAAATAAATATTTAAATAAAATGGTTATTAACTAAATGGGTATAATTAAAAATGTATTTAAAGATGTTTATATATGCTAAGCCTGACAATAATATGCTATGAATATTTATATTATTATCTGAATTAAAAAATAATTAAATCAATCAAAATTTTTTACTTTAAGAAAAATTATTATTAATTGTATAAAATAAAAAAGATAAAAGAGAATTGATGAGAATGATAGATATTTTTGCTAGCATATATACGTATTCGTGAAAGATTAATGTAAAGATTAGCAAGAAGATTAATATGATTAATTATTAAGGGGGGGGTTTAATGATTTAAGAAAAATTTTTACATATTAAAAGAAAGATAATTATTAAATTTATATATCTCTCCAAAACATATATCTAAAATATGTGATTATATCTATATATATAATATATAATATCCAATAATTAAATGAATTAAAAAATAAGAAGTGAATTTTTATGTGTATTTACAAATTTCTGAAAGGTTGTGGTTGTGAAAAGTTTTTATTTGATTTAACGCGTTGACCCCGTTGATCTCTAATAATAAAATAAATAATATAATAAATATAAATGTATATATACACATATTATGTCAGTTTATAAATAACAAAAATAAAATAAAAAATAAAATAAAAATTTACCTGTGGCGATTGAGATATTTTTTGTCTTTCAATTAATTTCTTAAGGGATTCTAATTCCGTCCCCGCTTCCATAGATCCATTTTTATATGCTTTATTATACCAATAAATACTTTTTTTCAAATTTCGCGAAATTCCATCACCATTTTTATATTTATTAGCCATATGATTCATTCCTAATATATTTCCCAATCTCCCTGAAGTTTTATAACAATCAATAGCCTTATTTAAGCATTTGGGAATTCCTTGTCCATGTTCATAAAAAAACCCTAGACTTAAATATCCATGTCCACTTCCATTCTCTGCTGCTCTTTCATACCAATGAAATGCCATCTTTAAATTTTCTCGAGTTCCCCATCCAAAATAATAACAATCTCCTACCATCTCTTCAGCTATAATAACATCTTTCTTAGCAGCCGCAAGAAATAATCCAAAAGCTTTAAGTTCTCTCTTTTTACTCCTTTTACATCCAATACCCCATAATAAAAAAAATCCCAATAAACTTTTATATTGAAGTGAATTTTTACGATTCATTAACCATCGATATATATCCTTAGGTATTTCGTTATTATCTTCAATAAACTCAATCAAAAGTCTGGCAATTACATCATCTCTAGTGCATTTGAATCGTTCTTCCAAGAATAATGATAGTAAAATATCTATAAAGTTTCTCTTGGGATCTTCGATTCGTGCATTATAAGTATGTGAAGTATGTAATGGTGAATGATGTTTAGGTGTTAACATTCTAAAAGCACTATTACCACTTGAATTTGAAGTTAATGGACTATAACTTCGTGAACTCAAAGAACTAAAACATGAACTTGAAGATAATCGTTTTGAATTTGGGGTTATTATTGATTGATCTGTGGTGAAAATTATTAAACGATTCGAATAATTTCTTGCCTTTTTTGACATGGTTAAAATATGTATTTATTTATATTCTTCTTGTTCTTATTATTATTATTATTATTATTATTGTTGTTGTTGTTGTTGTTGTTGTTGTTATTATTGTTATTATGTTATTATTAAGTTTATTAAGTTTATTATGTTATGCTAAACAAAAAAAAAAAATTATATATTTCGAATATTCAAGATATATAAGATATATTAAAAAAAAAAAAAAAAAAAAAAAAAAAAAAAAAAACTTTAAATTCTCGTCTTGTTTAAAATTTCGGATATGAGAAGATATTGACACAGACAACCTTTTATATGTCAATGTCATTTATCTGTTTCTGCAAATAAAATAACAACATCTGTAATTACTGTGTCACTTTTGGTGCCTGTTCAAAAAAAATAAATAAAATAAAAAAATAAAAGTAGAAATAAATTATATAAATAAAAAGATAAAATAAAAATTAAATAAAAGTTAATGATTATTGTGCTCTCCAAAAATGATAGGAAAATCTTCTCCATAAATCTATCTTTGTCAATGGGAATTTTCAGTTTACGTGTTCCCTAAATAAGTTTAAAAAATTATATTCAATGTATCATTATTGCACATGATTATGAGATTTTGTTTGTTAAATATTTATTTCCTCTTTGAACAATAGCAGGGATTTTGTACGACGGACTAACCAAATCTTGATGACTCAATAAGTGAACTCTATGAATTACTCCATAACGATAGTGTACTCCACCATAACGAGTGTACTCCATAACGAGTGTACTCCATAGCAAAAGTGTACTCGATGGTGCAAATAGTGCAAATAGTGCAAATAGTGACTCAAAAAAAAAAAAAAAAAATCAAGTTCTAAATTCTTACCAGAAACTAAAAAAAGATTTCCGGATCATATTTAGAAGGTCACCTAAACATTACCTTCTATTCTTTGGATCAGGAAAAGTTCTACAACTCTCTTGTATCTTTCTCTTGTACCTCTTTCTTTCTCTTTCTTGTATCTATGTCTTTTTGTCTCGAATTTTGTATCATGCAACATTAACAACAAAAATTAATTTTAATTATAAATTATGTGTTCCAGTATAAGATGTAAACAAAAACAATTAAAGATTGGAACTTTACCAAAAACAATAATTATGCAAATTTCTCGTTTTGGAAGAAAGCAAGTACCATAAAATATTCGGTTTTCTTTTATTAACTATAAAAAAACTAGACGTACAGTATAAATATTATATATACTTTTTAGTGTATATATCGGAATTCGCCTAATTGACCTGTTGATCATTAATGAATTAATCAAACTTGGAAAATTTTATTTATATAATTGTCAGGAATATTATTGGATAAGAGCAAGATATGTTGTCATCGAATATTATAAATTATATTAGAACCATATTTCCGCTGTTGTGTTTCTCTCTTTATTTTTCTCTCTTTATTTTTCTCTCTTTATTTTCTCTCTTTATTTTTCTCTATTTGTTTCTATAATAATCCATGAGAATTTGGAATTTTAAAGTGTTACAAAATAACAACAAAGCGATAATATTACTTTCTTCACGTTAAGATCCTTGTTCTTATTTATAAATGAACCTCTATTAATGGTTATTTGGTCCGCACGAGGAAAGATGATAGGAACTACACTCAATTACTATAAATTACTACATAATTTCTACGTAACCATCACACGACTAAAATTAAAAAAAAAAAATAACTATTCCATCCGTGCACTTCAGAAAGTTATACAAACCCAATTTCATTGTGTAGTAATACATAATAGTTGAATGAAATTTAGTGAAACTAAAGTTACATTATTATTTTTCTCCCCATGCATTCCAAACATTCCAAGTATTTCAAACATTCAACATTTATTATTGATTAAATCTTCCTGTTTTTGGTAAATAATAGTAATAATTAAATTAATTAAATAATAATAATAATAATAATAATAATAATAATAATAATAATAATAATACCTGATAATAAGATAAATGTAGTTTATGTAGTATACTGTACAAAGAAGGAATAATTTTCCGATTCACGTGCAAAAGTAAATTAACCAATGGAATAAAAAAGAATATTCTTTGCAACCTTCTTAATGAAGAAATTACCAAATGGAATAAATGATAAATGCTGTTATACTATTAATTATTACTAAATTTAAAGTTTTTTTTTTTTTCTTTTCTCTAATTTTAGTTATCGGAAATCCAAATTATTTTATCCATTCAATACTGTATACATACATATATCTTATCTAAAAAAAGAATTTAATAATATTCAATTTATTGAACAACATCCATAATATACAATAATATACAATAATATAAAATAATAATATACAATAAGATACAATAATATACAATAAGATACAATAATATACAATAAGATACATAAATGACTAATAATAAAAATAAATTTCAGGGTTAAACATAAATACAAATTTATTTTAATAAAAATTAGTTTTCAATGGTAATCAAAAAATTAGGAGGCAAAAATAAAAAACCTGTATAAATCAAGTTTTTTTAATAACTTTAAGAGATTTATTGAGGCTTACTTATTGATTACTACAATGCAATGACATCAGAAAATTCAGATATATATTGGTGTATTTTAAAGTTTATAAATTTCTTGATTTTTTACGTTAAGTACTTTTATTCGTGAAATATTAGATGTAAAAATATCATAAATCTTTGCTGCTAAAAAAAAATTCTTATTATAAAAGAAATATATATATCAGATTAAGAAGACAGATTAAAAGAAATGCTAAAGGTATGCATGAAGTGTTGTTAAAGGATATAAAATGGTACATACAAACGTTGTATATATATTGTAGTAAAGTATTAGTTTCACGTCAAACGAAGGATTACAAATAAATGAAATCACGATTACATATTTTGTTTAGACATTAATTTTTTCTGTTTTTCGTGATTTTGTGTTTTGTGTGTGGCGTTATACGATTTATCCCGCATTTATTATACCTAAAATTAATCAAGAGACTAACGCGTTTCAGTCTAGTTTAAAAAATTGGTGACATTAGTAGTTAGTAATTGGGATTAACTAACTAAATTTTTATATTTTAATTATATTTTAATTATATTTTAATTATGACGCGGCCCATAATAAAATAATTCATTCGAAGAGATTATGTTTCAAATTTTTAACCTTAAAGTTTAGTTTATTGAGATTTCTTTTTTTTTTTTTTGTTGGAAGATTAAATAATAAATAAAATAAAAGTAAAATAAAAAATAAAATAAAAAATAAAAAATAAAAAATAAAAAATAGCACGGTAAATTATGTAATAAATATTAAATGTATTCTTATAACTTTTACGCCTTGCATCAAATTATTATATAATTGGTTTACTTTTTTAATAGCCAAGATGATATTTTTATGGCAGCGTATTTATCATCGATCATTCCCAAATTTTTTTTAGTAGCATTATGGATGACTAGCGGATGACTACTGGATGATTAATACGGTTAAATCTAAACTTTCACTTTTATTTATTAAATATAAATCAAACTGTTATCATCGATACAACTAAATTATTTTCTTTTCTAACGAAGTGCTGTAATAATAATAATGCAACTATCATTGGAGTAATATAACTATATACTTTGCAGATTTTATAAATTTTATAGGAAATTTATTACATTTTTGGAAGAATGAGCATATGAGATATTCTATAATAATAAAAATATAGAAAAAAAAGATGGAGATATGTAATTGTTAGCAGTTGATTTATTTAATCAGTAATACAAACAAGATATTAAACCAGTAATACGCGTTCTAAATGGCACAGTACTTTCATCACTTCCATAATTAGTTTTAACGAATATTTATTTCTTTGTTATTTTATTTTCTTTATTCTTGTTAGTATCCGATTGGCTATTTTTGAATATGATTAATATTATTAAATTAAGAATTATGAATCTGCAACATCATAAATGATGCAAAAAAAATAAAGTTATGCACATGATTTATTCCAGTTAGGGTTTATATATACAAATTAACGGAATTGCTTTTTATCCAATCACAATTGAGGATCTGTTAGTTCATAATTTTACCCTACAACTTTAAAAGATTAAGAATTGTGACACAGCAATAATTATTATATATTATAAAATAAAATTGAAAAAAAATATATAAAAATATAAAAAAGATTGTATTTTATTAAAATTTATTTATTTAAAAGAAATCTTTTAACTTATTAAAAATTTTATTAAATAAAATCAAGATTATCAAAAAAATCACCAAAACAAAGATTAAATATGTATAATAACTATTATTCTAAAATCTATTGTTTATATACTAAAGTATTTTAAAGACAAAAATTAAATGATATATTACTTTGAAAGTTACTATATAATTCTTTCAATTTAAATGATGTACAATACTTAAAATTTTTTATTGTTAATATATATTTTTATTATTTACAAGATTACTTAGTAATATTTTAATAATTAGAAAAAAATAAAGTTTTTTACATTACTATTACATAATATAAAATATATAACTTATCTTAATAATTATTAAAAATATAAAACTTAAATTAACTTATTTAAGATATGCTCATAACTTACTACCTGACAAATAAATTTACTCTTAACATATTAAAATCCTATTAAACAATTTATTTTATACAATTTGAATTAATTAATTCATATTAAACTAAATTGTTAATAAATTTGATAAATATATTGAAACAGATAATTACTCTTTGTTTAATGTACTAGAAATAATATAATTATATTATTTTCAATTAGTATAACTGGTCAAATTGTGGAAAATCAGTACCTATCGTATACCTATCAAGTACCCGATAGGTATGCGATAGGTGCCTGATTTTTAATAAATTTTAATATATCGGGCTTTCGATAGGTAGAGTGAGTGTGTCAAAGTTCGGGCACATATCGGGCATATATTAACAGATATCGGACACATATCGGACTCTGATTTTTTGGCATTTTTTTCAAATATATCATACACTGTTGACTCTATTTCTTTATTTTTTTAATTATATATATTTTTATTACAACGTATTTTATTATTATTATTTTATTTTATTATTATATTAGTATTTCA